TGTAAATAAGGAGGGCAGCCAGGGTTAGAAATTATTTTTGAATGTTGACAGGCCAAACAAATTTAAGCTCGGTCATGTCTAGTTACTAACCGGTCAAAATAAATTATTACCTGCCAAACAAATTTTAGCTCGGACCGGTCAAAAGACAGTAAAAACTCGTAGGTAAGAACCTGGATTTTCCCATTGCATTAACAGGTACGTTCTTACAAAAATAGTTATTGGCAAAAAATTTGTCTATTTTTCTAAAATGAAAAGGTTCTTATTTTCTGCAGGAAAAAAAAACATTGCAGCTTATGTCTCCCAAAGAGGTTCACCTGAATATTTTCCAGGTGTATAGAATTTTTTATAGATTTGAGAAAATAAAGATGTGTGTCAACTATTGGGCTAAACAGGTTCTTGTATAGAGCCTGGGGCCTAATTATAACTGGCAAGTTTAGCCAAACAGGTTCCTAAAACCAGGTTCTTAGTCACAGCTAGCTTTTTACTGTATTGAAGACATTGTACTTTGCAGTAATAGCCAAATTAAGACAAAAATTATGTGATCATAAATGCTCAAAAAACTCCTTGTGTTGAGAGATGGTGAAATATTATAAACCAGTTTTGAGTGTGGTTATCAAGTTGTTCATTCATTGGAGGGTACAGTGTAGTAAATAATATTTCCAGGAATATTGTCAAGCTCAGCTCGTTTATTCTTAAAAACAATTCCCCATAAGAGTTAAACCAGAAATCACAACTTTTGGCTCAGTATTGTTCTGACATGTTTTCTTTGAACAATAGGTGTATGTAGGGGTGAGGGAAAATTCTTGCCAAACTAAAGATTTTATCTTATCCTCTTAGCCATGGAAGAACATGAAAGTCAGGTCCTCCAGGTTGAATGTAGCATGGAATGCTCTCTGCACTGGTGAACAAGAGCAAAGTCACTCAGCAGGTACTGATATAGTTCATGGTAGATGGTATTTATTATAGAATTGCATAATTGAGTAAAATCACGCATTCTGATTGGTTAACGAAGAGAGGTATTCAGTGTGGAATTGCGAGTTGAAAACGAGGCTAAGGGATGTTTTTTCGCATCTACGTAACAACTATCGTCAAATTGTAACACAACAACTGCAAAAAAAGGTTTTCTACAATGTCATTTTAAAATGTTTTCAAAATCATTGTCACCTTTTGTATATCCTTTCTTAACATACTGTAATGTTGCCTGGTCCTCCACCTACTGTTCCAGCCTAAACTGTATTTACCTTTTGCAAAAGCGTCTAGTGCGGCTCATAACAGCTCACTATCTAGCAAATACCGCCCCTTTGTTTAGTCGGCTTAAAGTCCTTGACATATTTAGTATTAATTTATTTTCTGTCACTACTTTTATGTATTGTTATCACCATAATCTTTTGCCTAGTAGCTTTCGTGACTTGTTCTTAAGTAGTAATCTGAAGTCCATCAATACCAAAATTCGACTGGCCTCTCAGTATAGACCTCATTTTTGTAGATCAAATATAAAGCAATTCAGTATCCTTTACCGAGGACCTAAAATCTGGAATTCGTTGCCTGTTTCACTAATTAGCTCTCTTTCTATATTTGTTGTTACAAAAAATTTAAAGAATTATCTCACTGATAGCCGATCTGTCGCTTAATTTTCTGATCTTGCTCACTCTGCACTCAGCCATGAATTTAGTTCTCTAGGTAGTTGAAGGAAGCCTATTAATATAAGCTTCAAGCTTCGTTAGACTTCCTTGTCACATTAATTTTATAATTTAATTAACACCTTTTGTTTATGTTGCATAAGGTTTTGTGAGTGACTAAATAAATAAATAGTTAAAAACAAACAAAAGCATTTTTTAAAGTGATCCGGAGGTTCTTCCTTGTTTTGAACTAAACTACAAATTCTTGGAGAGGTATAAAAAACCCCTTTCGCTAGCGACAATGAGAAAACAAGAAAATCCTGTCAACACAGCCCAGAAAATAACAAGCCAAATTCAAACAAACAAAACGGAGAAGCGACAATGGAGGAAGTGCCAGGGTCAATTGTCGCATATACAGAAGAAAAAAATAAATACCTTCAAAGATCACATTGTCCCTGAAAACACGAAAAAGAGTACGCCACTTGCATTCATCCTGAGTCGTGGTACTTAGAAAAATACAAAACAGAGCTGAACTTGAACAGCATTTTTAAAACATTTCAAGGTACTTACCTTATATCAATCGCAACGTTAAACTTTCAGTGCTTTGCCTTGGACACTTCATTTCTTTCAGTTTTGCTACCGAAGAGGTAAAAGGTGTAAATTATTTTCCTTCGCGAGCAAATGACCAATTTGAAAAAGGATTATAGATAACCGGCTTGTAAATTCAGTGAAATACCTCTATTTATCCTTACAATTAGTGTGAAGCTTGTTCATGTGTAAAAAAGTTTGAAAACAAATGTAAAAACAAGCACAAGGTACAAAAAAAGTTGTCAAAGGTTCAAACGTGTATGACTGACCTTGCTTCCTATTCGCTAATGCGATGATAGGTTTGACATTTGACTTTGAAATGGCTTTCTGGGGCGCGTGCTCAGGATAAAAACAAACAATATTACTGGTGTTTTCTTTTTTTTTCTGATTTTTATTTGATTATGCGATTCAAGGAAAATCCATTACCTGACTCGTGAATTCCACGTTAAATTGCACTTGAAAACCGATATCGGTTTTCGTGTGCAATTTAACGTGGAATTCCCTCGTCAGGTAATGAATTTTCCTATAAAACTTACTAATATACGTGGAAAAATTTCTTGAATCAGATTGGCTTAGAGCAGTGCAGTTTTTAGTAAACACAGTACAAAAACAAGGAAACATAATGCAAAAATAAGGAAATAAAGTGCGAATTTCTCAGAGAATGAAAACCTGTGATTGGCTAATAAACAATCAGTGTTCTCCAGAAGCGCGGGCAACTGGCAGTTTCACTGGGAACTCTTTTCCAAAGTGCCAGCTACTCTTATGAGTCAAAACATAAAAAAAAACTGTCTGTAACTTTTATCTTCAATTTTTCGTAAGTTCCATTTTTTTCCGCGAAGGATAAAACGGCACCCAAAGCAAATCGTGTTAATTCATTTCTTAGAATACTAGAACATGCAATTTCATCGGGAAAATAACAAACAAACAAAAAAGCCACGAGAGCTTGTTTGAAAGTTTATCGAAAAACACATGAAAATACATGGAACTAAAGTGCCTTGAACAGCTACAAAAGAAGACAGGTTTTGTTTATTCATGGTTGCGAAGCCACTCGCTGAGGCACTTGCCGATAGATAGCTGCGGCTTGTTTATCTGACATGAAGAATATAAATCACAAGCAACTAGAATACACGCTATGCAGCCATTCACTACAGCAATCGAGGCGTCAGTAAAGCTTCTTTTCTTGTTCAGCAAAACCAGCTTGTGGCTTCAAACAACGCCATAACAAGCGACCAAGGTAATAGTTTTTCTCCGTTGTTCTTACTTTTGTAACTGCTCCAAAAGTCCAAATTACAGTAATTTTGATGGCTGTTAAGAATTATTTTTCTTCACATTATCTGCCAGGTTTTTTTAGCTGTCCCGCTGTGTAAAATCCTAGAATCTCGATGAGTTTTTAAAAGTGTTCATCTTTATAATGTTTTGATTTTTCATTCATCCAGTCCAGGAGAGTCGGTTCATGCGTTGACAGTTCTGATAGACATGTGATAATATAATGTGGTAATATTTTTTAATTATAAAATAACTAAGATAGTACATGCATTCTGATTGGTTAAAAACCAATAGTTTATTGTGCTGGTAATCTCATAGTAAACTGAAACATGCTTTAAAGTTATTTTATAAAAGTAAAAGACCACATTTTCTATGGATTTACCAGCATGATAACTCACTTGGTTCTTGGGAGAACTCTGGAAAAGCTTGTAAATAACGAGCAAAACTTCTCAGATCTCTGGGCTTAATGCCCCCAAACCCCTCCCTTAGATACAGTACTCTCGCTTTATCAGTGCTTGGTGTCAGGCACCAGTTTCTTTGCTTTGGGAGCTGGCTACTCTAAAACTTCTGGATAATGTATCGGTCAAATCGAAGCTTCAACATGCCCCCCCCCCCCGGGCAACCCCCCGGGCATTTGACTTTTTTGAAAATTATTGTTCAAATTCCCCCCTACCCGGGCCCAAAATGCCGTTCAAATGCCCCACACTAGGGTCCATTCAGGTGATCAAATGCCCCCATCCTGGGGACATTTCACAGGCACAAAAATGACAGAAGGACGGCGGAAACGCCTTCAGTTGTCGAACAAAATCTTTATAAATATAACAAAAACACTGTTAACGTATTTACTACGAACAAAAAACTCGTGCAAAGCGGCAGAAATCGCTGCTACAAGGTCACTGAATGCTCAGCTTTTCTTCATCATGCAACATCCAAAGGGTTCTATAAAAAAGATCCCACCTATTGAGATTACTACATCATGACCATTTCACTGACATGCATCATCGCTCACCGTATAAATTAACATACTTGCAGTAGGTCAAAGTAGTTGACCTGAGCTTTTTATTTTATTTTATTCTATTTTATGTTGTAGTATTGAATCGCTGGCATAGGTATTGTATTTCATTGTAAACACAACAATAACATACATTCATACATTCAAAGCCTGAATCCAGTATTAAAAAGTTCAAATTCCCCACCCCTAAAGCCTGGGGATCAAATTCCCCACCCCCTGGAAGACTCTGATAATCAAATTCCCTCCTCCCCGGGATGGCAAAGGTGTCAAATGCCCGGGGTATGCCGGGGGGGGGCATGTTGAAGCTTCAATTTGACCAATACATAACACTGAACAATAGAAATATATAAGAACCAATCAGCCTCAGGTGTCACAATCTGCTTGCCCAACTTATTAAGATTATATCTTATCTTCTTAGCCATAGAAGAACATGAAAGTGAAGTCCTCCAACTTGAATGTAGCATGGAAAGCTCTCTGCCAGGTGAACAAGAGCAAAGTCATTCAGCAGGTACTGATATACCGGTAGTTGTTTATGGTAGATGGTATTTTATTATGAAAGTTAATAATATACATGAAAAAAGTTCTCTGTGAATTTGATTGGCGTAGAGCAGTGTACTTTTTAGTAAACACAATGCAAACAAGGAAACATAATGCAAAAAGAAAGAAATATAATGCAAATTTATCAGAGAATGAAAAACTGTGATTGGGCCAATAAACAATAGAAATTTATCAGAACTAATTAAGTGCCACAGTTTGCTGGTGGGAAGCATGTATACTTTTAAAACTTCCCCTTTTTGGTGTAATTAATTATGCTCTGTTGTCTTACCTAAGTAATCTTTCCTTTTTCTTGTAACACTTTTTTTCTCAATATTTTATTTTACGAATTTACCTGATTATTTTTATTTATTTATTCATTGTGGGTTGTTTTTGTTTTCATTTTTGTAACCAAGATTTTGAAATTAATAAAGGTGTGGGTGGGCGTGTGTGTGTAACAAATAAGAATGTTAAAACTTTCATATATATATTTTTTACATGGACTCAAAAGAGCAGCTATATAGAGTGTTTTCACATGACGTCACGGCGGCCATATTGGTGTCCCAAAACAATGAAACGGCGGCCATGTTGGTGTCCCAAACCAATCCTCTGGGAATTGAGATCTTTTCTTATGCAAACGCTTTCTTTTGTTTCAGTAAATTTGCATAGATGCTAGCCACGTGAGTGAAAACACTCTATAATCAGTGATTTTGTTACCTCTGCATTCTATCTATGTTCCTTACACATAAAAATCGCCAAAGACATAAAATAATTCATGGATATATCGATCTGAACGTGTGTATTTGTAGAAATATCCCGTACGTGTAATTTCTGTGGCAGTTATGGTTGTTGTTTAGTGATGCATATTTGTTTTAGCCTTTGTTGACTTCTGCTTTAAAATAGAAGAACTATATTTTAATTTCAGTATACTCTAATACAGAGTTTTGGAGTGTGTCTTCAGATTAACTGTCTGTGGCTGGTACATAAAGGCCCAAACATTTTCCATTTTGGACTCATTTTTTTTAACTGGGACTCATTGGTTCTGGACTGAGACTCATGATTTCTCACAAGATGAGTCCCAGAATTCATCATATTTATTTGTAACAAAAACACTGTATAATTCATTGATTAGACCTTTTGTCATGTAATTCAAGTGTTGTTGTTGTGGTAAACATGACAAGTCATCATGTCTGTACTTAATTCTCCATGACTGGATTGTAGGATTTTTGTTCTGTTTGTATTTGATCGTGCATTATTATTATGGGAAAACTTACCTTAAGGTTGCATTACTTTGACTCTAGGACAAAGTTAAAATACATTGAATTCTCATAGAGATAATTATTTTTTTGGATTATAATAATGAGTTCATTGGTTGGGTCACTCCCATTATATTTGATGACTGGTTTATGAAATATCAGCACTTAGAAAATGATTGTCAAGGTTGTTGTATTATCCGAAGTTTCAAAAGTAGAAATATTGTGTATTTTCTATTTGAAATCAGGTTTTGAGAACACTTCCACAGATACAGCTTTATAATAGTAATTCTTGTACAGTTATACAAGCATGCAGTACTAGGGTGTGAAGAAAAGGAGGTCAGTTTTGTGCTTGTCCTTCGGGAAGGCTGTAGCTTGCATCTGTTAGCCCAGGAATCACAACTCTATTATCCCTCAGGCATGATAAAAAATAGAATCCACTAGCCCCATAGCTTATATGAATTGTGTAGTTGGTTAATACAAATAATTCATTTACTAGGAGAAGAGTTGGAACAACACACTCCTGCAGTAGAAAATGGCCCAATTGAGGGAGCAAGCAATGTGCAGGAAACACAGCAACCTCTTCCAGAAGTAAATAATAGTAGCCACTTAGAAGATGACCGCCTAATTGCTAGAGCAAGGGCAGTTGGTGTGGACTATGAGTTTCCAAAGCCTGGTGAAGTGGAAACGGAGGATGACAGAAGAAAAGATTTTATTTACTTGAATCCAGTCCATTCCTTTTTCTCTCCAACAACAATGATATATTAAGAAACATTGTTATTATAGCTGGAAATTTCTTTCCAACCATGTGCACACTCATTGGTTATTTCAATGTCACCTGACATCTAACAATGAAACTTTTGGTGCCAATATTCTCTAAGCAGGCAACATCGCAAAAATCATTCACATCAGAGGGTAACAGTGCACTATTACCCGTGAATGACCAACAACTGACCTTCCAGGGAGGTTTAATGAATTTCCATGCAGCTATAAATTTTTTAAAATATTAACATCACAAATCACTTAAAGACTTGGCCCATGGGAAACAGTTAATTTTGTTTTCCAAGAATCTAAATATTTCCCAGCACCATTCTCATTAGTTACTTCGAGGTCACATGACATCTAACTGTTTCCCACCACAATCTCTGAGGAATTGCCAGGCTAATTGACCAGCTGCTGTGGAAATTGGAGAATGACTATATGAATGGTTAGGTACGTTAGGTACAGTGCCAAAGTTGCATTGATAACTGTGGTGATCTTCCCTGAATTTATTTCTTCATTCTGCATTGCCAGTATATGAAATTAATGTATTTATTATACCATATATAACTTTGTTGTGTGAATTCACCTTGGATAAGTTAATCTTTTCTTGTGCTGTTTTAAAGTTATAGAGTTTTAGTTTTAGTTTCAACTTTTAAGACCTTTTTCTTTCCTGCTCTTTAAACCTTATCTGACTACGTGTTACTTTTTTCGTAGTTTTCTTTGACTCCTCTTCTTCCTTTGTCGGGAGTGGGTTGCGGCTACACGTAGGCTAGATTACATCCCGATACCGACTGGCGGGTATCAGTATTTGCAACGAGGTTATATCGTATTGTGTACCAGTGTGAATAAAACGATCTTCATCATCATCATTATTATCGTTATTATTATTGTAATGAAATCGGGAGCTCCGCTTTTAGGCTTGGCTAAATCTATATATTATGTGTAGTGAATCAGACACTCTGCTTTAGTAAACAAATCTTTTAAAGCATCATCTGCATCTTCGGGTGGTTTGGCTTTCTTACCATCATTATTCATCAATTTGGCAAAGGGTCCTGGTACAAATTCCTCCACTGTAGCAGGTTGCTCATTTATTGTGGTGAAGTACACGTGGTTGTACTGAAAACACTCTCTCATTTCTTTTGGAGCCTGCGACTTAAACTTCTTTGCAATGGCTCTCTATATTTGTGTTAAATTGAGAACCAATTGCTTCTTTGGACTTATCGATGTACATTTTGATAACCCAGTGATTTGGAATGTTTTGCCTGGTGGATTTTCCATTTAGCACATGGTGATAAGCGTCACCTGAGGAAAACTTCTCTGAATCTACTGCACACTCAACTTCCATTGCATCTTTCCATTGTCTAGAGGCAATGTCAAATTGTTCAAAGTTCAGCAATAACTTTTTTTTGTTACAGGTTTAACCAGATTTCCAGCCTCCAGTAATGAGGCAATGGATACAGATGAAGGAAACTTAGTTGTTAGCGAAAAGCTTCCATAAGTTGCTTTGGGATTATTGGATGCATTTGCTTTTCTCACTGGAGCAGATAGCGCACCAGTAGTACAATGCACTGAGTCGTTATCAAACAACTCTTCCTGAACATCTTGTGTGTGAGAGTGATAGGAGTCTTCGCCATAATCTTGGCCAACTACAAACCGCACCAAATACACCTACAAATATCAAAGAACATATTTTATTGGACTTGAATGTATTGAAAGTCAGCATGATAGCAGTCTCAGAGGACACAAACAAAGGAAATGGATGAATGTGGTATCAACAGGCCCACAAAAGCAGCCAAATAGTTCTAAGTGCAAGAGAGCAAGAGATGCATGTGTATACCTCTTCCATGCATTACTTGTGTTTCTGTGGTATTTGGGGGTTATTTAAGAGTGATTCCAGTGCATTTTAAGTGCATGCATTATATACATTTTGATAAAGAGAGGAAAGCAAGGAACCTAAAACTTGTTTCAGTCACCCTTAAATGGTCCCAAACAGCACTAGTAATGGAGGAGTCCCAGCAAGCTCTTGCATTTACAGTGATAGGCAACATGGCATTTATATGTTGCTCCCATTTCTCATACAAATATCTGGGTTTTGTTGTGTTTGGAGAAAATTTAAGTTAGAAAACTAAGCAAATGTAATGCACGGTTTGCAAAATATGTATGGATACAAAAGAAAGCTCTTCACATAATGTATGGATTTCTGCCCTGCATTGTAGAGTTCAACCAAGTCAAGGTAAGCACGGTTGTTCTTAATCCAACTGAATGACCCAATAAAATTTAAACAATTTGAAAACTTGTGTAGTGGTAATAAAATGCCAACTAGCCAATTCAAGCTGCCAACCACATCCCACTCTATTATTAAAAATTGAATGAATAGCACAGTCTAAACTTAAGCGTAACTCTCATGGGGTACAAACAAGCTTTTCCATGTAAAACTAATATTGTATGTGGGGAAATATTCAAGCCAATGGTTCAGATGATGCCTCTTTGAAAACCTAGGGAGTTGATAAACCATTGCTATCTGAAGTTTCATTTCAATATAATTATTCATAAACCACAGGGGTGAAACGACAAAAGTTTAAGCTTCTGTATGCACATTTCACATCCATCTGTAATACTCTCACCGTGTCCTTCCTGTGAGGCATTTCTTCGATGCTGGTACACGAGGGTCCTTTGTTGGTGACAAGGACGTCGCATAAGCTCGCTGGCAAACTATAATGGTCAGCACACGCTTTCTTCAAGTTTGTCAGCGTGAGATCCTCATAAGGGAATGCCACAAATTCTCTAGGCTGTACGGGACGAAATGCCTGTTTGTTGTCTGGCTCTGAAGCCAAACGTTGCACGATTAACTCATGCGGAGCGGAACCAGACTTATTGCCTTTGCCCTTTCCGCGAGGATCTGGTCGCTTCCTTTTCGCCTTCCTTTCCTCTTGTGAACGGTTCCATACAGTTTGCCCTTTATTCATTTCGATAAAAGGACTTTAGATGGTTGTAATGTAAGAGGCAGGTATGAGGAAAGCACTAGCTTGCAGCTCACACGTGCGAGGAACCATCCAGGCCAGGTACAGTGCTTGCCGCCGTTTTAAGATGACTCCGCTGATGTAACGTGTCGCAGCCTATGAAAACGATGGGTCACTTTACGACATTTCATTTTGAGAAAAGAAATTGATTGTGATTTCAGCTCGGCCCAGCATTATCATAGCAAAATAAAATTAATTTGCGTTTCTACTAAGGGATTTTAATATGTTTTTTTTAACTATTTTTTTCGATTTCATTTTTTTTTTACTATTATTATTATTATTTTTAAAATTAAATTTTCTTTTTTTTTTGGTTGAAATTTATTTACATCTTCATTTTGTTTCTTTATTTTTAAAATTCCCATTTAATCTTTAATTTCCATCTTTCAATTTTTATTTTAATTAATTTTTTTTGTATTTTTATATTTATGTATATTTATTCATTTATTTATTGATCTTTTTTAAAATATGTTTACCATTTTTAAATAAAACAGGCATTTCCAGTTAGTTTTTCTATGATAATAATGGGCCACCATACCGCAGCCCGTTTCGGGGTGCGGCGAAGAAACGCATAACATTTCAGACTAGACAGATCGGGGCTAGAAAACCTGCATAATTTTAGAGCACCTCTGGTGTTAAAAGCAAAGCTTTCTGTAGTTCTGGCAACCTCGAGCAAGTTTTGCATTTCTGAGCAACGTTTGGGAAAAGTTTAGGCTTATGTCAAGCCAGAAAAAAGTGAGCAGTTTGATAGAAAACGTCAAGTACGACTGAACCGCGCACGTATTGGTTTCACCCCTGAGCTTTCCCGACGGGCCCAAATATACGGGTTTCCAATCTCCTTTAAAGAGTTGCTCGAAACTGTGGGAAAAATTTATTGCCAAGGGAAACGCACAACTAAAACGTAGGCGGTATACTTAGAGCTAGGTCCCTTTTGCTCAATTTCAGAGTTTCCCCTCCACACCCAGCCCACCCCTCCCGCCGGAGTCATTAAGGGCGCTTTTACGAGCGCGGTTTAGTCGTACTTGACATTTTCTATCAAACTGATCACTTTTTCTGGCTTGACATGTGCCATAACCCATATTTCGGCAAAACGTTGCTCAGAAATGGAAAACTTGTTCAAGTTTGCCAGAACTACAGAAAATTTAAACACAAGAGGTGCTCTAAAGTTATGCAGGTTTTGTAGGCCCGCCATGTCTACCCCGAAACCTGCTGCGGCCCCTTAGGGGGTGGAGGGAAGGGACAGATGACATTTCAGACTACGACTTAGCGCTTTTCTCCGTCAATGTCATTTTTCTAAGTATACAAGTAAGGAATTCATAATCGTATTTCAAAACGAACGTGCTGAAAACAAGAGACTACAGTGGAACCTCGATTTAACGAAGGGCCAATGGACTAAAAAAACTTTCAGAGCCACCCAACGACGGTTTCCTTCTAAATTCATTGAAAAAACTTTTCAATGGTGTACCCAGAGTACTTTTAGATCTCTAGAAATGCATTCTACGCGGCTTGTAAAGTTTGTTCCTGTTAGGTCATCCTAGGGGAACTTGCATTGAGTATTTTCGAAATTTCAAGGGCTTCAGTATTATTTTCCCAAAAATGTTAGATGCAAGAACGTATCACGAAAGTGACAATTTTTCTCATTCCTCTCTCAATCACATATTTGAATCCGAACATTTTAGGTTTCCTCTTTTCTACGAAAAATTAGCCTAACCTGGGATGCAAAATGTGAAAAATTAAACTTCAGTAAATCGTAGGGAATTTATAAGATAACCTTCGAAAATTGAACAGGAACGGAACGGTCATCTAGAAATGTTTAGGAGTCCTCAAGCTATAGAAAATTCTAGACAATATCTATTTCTCCGAACATATATTTTACAGAAAACAGTCGTTGGGTACCCCTGAAATGTGCTCGCTATAACGAGGTTTCGTTATATCGAGTTTTTTTTCATACCGTAATTCATTGATTACGCCCCCTCGGGAGGAGGGGGGAGGGGCTTATTTTTTTCAAGCCAATTTGAGGAGGAAGGGCTTAACAGAGATGGGGGGCTTTATATATTTCAGGAAACTACGATGGTATCATTCCTCCATAAAGAACTAGAATACAAAGTGGAAAAGCTCAAGTACAGGAAGTTTTAGGTCATGCAGCCGAGGATCATAGTAAAATCCGAACTTCCAGTTCGGAAATAAATCATCCCGGATCAGTTCATACGAAGTTTTATGGTCGTGATTGATATAGAGGATATTACATGGCAGCGCGGAGATACGAATTTTATCTTCGAGTATGGAAAGTATCTCTCTCGAGTGAGCGAAGCGAACGAGTGAGAGATACTTTCAGCACTCGAAGATAAAATTCGTATCCCCAAGGGGCCATGTAATGTTCTGTTTATTTTATAGATACTGGTGAAATTCCTACATAAAACACAACATCATGTTAGTAACCATGGCGACACCAATATCCTCACACGTGAAAGATAAAAATAGTATCTTCACTGTGCGCGATGAAGATATGATTTTTTAGTAAAAGGAAAAATCCTGGTATTTCATCAGTATCTATATAGTAAAATACAGTCTATCATTTATTAGTGAAGAATAATTAGGGGTGGGAAGGGGATGCTTGATAGAAGGGGGCGAACTTATTACCTTTCTTCCCCTGAAAAGGGGAGGCTTATTAGAGAAATGGGGCTTATTTGACAGGGGGCCTTAATATAGGTTTTACGGTCCATTTTATTGGGGTAAAGAAAATCATTCGTAGGTTCTTTATATCGTGGTTCCATTGTATAAGTGGTTCCCCTATATAGTCTTGTGACAAAAAAATATTTTTTAGTGTTACGTTTGCAGGGTCGCCCTGGCGGATACGTCAACGAAACTAAGGATTTTGATTATTTACGTGTTTCGCTTTTATAGCTACAGAAGGTGCCGCGTGAGTTTCTTTTTCGGAATGGTTGGGGGATTTCGATTTTTCCATCTTGCACACCCATCCGTGGTATTTACAGAAAGTCGCTCCTAATTTTCTGCGGTTATTGTTTATGGTTGGCATGATTTGCCCTCTGATGCAAGAACATTTTCTTTGACCTCTTTTGAAAGTAAAGCTCTTCAATGCGCCTAAATAAGGGTTTTGGGTTGTTTAATTTCTCTGGTGATTGCCTCCTGGATCTGAATAATTTTAAGCGATTTTCTTTTTGGCCGTGAATGTGGCGGTTTCCTGCAATGTTTTGTCAGGCTGGGCCCAGCTCATCAGCGTTTTTAGCAGGACACATAGTGATATCCAAATCTCGAAGAATGGATTGCAGCTTAAACTAAAACTACATCAACTTTGGAGCGATGTGACTCAGTCATTTTGAGCGCCGCTTGTTTTTCTGGAGATAATGTGAGTCTTTGGACTGGAGTGCCTAGTTCCTCCCTTGGTGATAACTTTTGAATGAGCATAACAGCCTTGCGACTGTTCTTTTATTCTCACTTTGTGATCAGGCAAGACCGTAGTTTCGGTTCTCCAAGCGAACCTCGTCAGTTGCCGGGTCAGCTTTCTTCTTAGTTGCTTCTACAAGAGCAACTCTAGTTATTTGTTCTGTGCTGTTATTTGTTCTGCTCTAGTTATTTCTTTTGTAAATTGTGATTATGTCCAGTGTTGATAGCGGCTGGCCCTCTTTTGACAGATGTTGACAGATTTCCATGGAAGAGCCAATTAGAGTTTTGCGTTGTGAGAGCAACGCATACGTTCAAAAGCTTGGGCTTTGTCTGTAGTCCCTCATTTTTCTCTCTCCCAGCCACGTGTCGCCTTTTCTCGCGAGGGGTGGTTTTCACGCGCGCTCGCGTTTCGCTCGCTCTACTATCCCTGAGGAAAAAGGGGGACTACTCGTAGTCTAAGCTAACAGCATCAGAATAAGAGTCTTCGAATTCGCTTCGCCAGCCGTAGATACTGGTATCCACAGAGTAGAAAACATGTCTGAGAGGAGCAGAGGATCGCGAGCTAACACGGACAACAAATTTTCGAAACTGTAGTCGATGAAACCTTCAGCTCATTTGCAATATCTACAAATCGACTGGGAAATATCATTGTTAGTGGGTCACCTCCTTCTTCAATGATTTTATTGTCTTAGGTCAGAGGATAACGCCTTTCCTGGGATATAAGAGCAACCGTTCTTGCTTACGGTCAACATGTTTACATTCTGTAACGCACCTTTTCTCCGACAGGATGCTATCATCCCCCGCCTAGCAACGTCTGACAATTTGCCTCGCAACGCAACCAATCAACTGTGATAACGAACGCGATAACTGATTTCATTAAACGCTCAACCTGACTCTCAACCTTAACTCAAAAGTTAAAAGCACGAAAACAGCAAAACGAAGAGTACATACTAACAAGATCAGAGGCCTTAGGGCCCCTAGATTATGAAATATCTGAACAAGAAATGGTAACTGCTATCGACCTCTTAAAAACTGGAAAGGCCCCGGTAGTAAATAACATTTTATGCGAGCTGCTCAAACATGGCAAGGAGGCCTTAAAAAGGGCCTCTCACAATCCTTTTCAATAAAATCCTAATCAGTGGTAGGTACCCTACCCTGTGGAGTCATGGCCTAATTATACCAATCTTCAAAAAAGATGATCCGTCCCACCCAGAGAATTATAGAGGAATTACTCTCTTATCAGCCATGGGAAAGATTTTTACCTCAATAATGAATAGCAGGCTTTGTGACTATCTAATTGAAAAGGGCATAATTACTCCGGAACAATGTGGCTTCCGAAAAAAACATGGTACACAGGACAGTATCTTCGTTTTAAAAGCACTAATAGACAAATATGTTAAATCTAAACCCAAGAAATCAAATAACCTTTTATTCACCTGTTTTGTTGACTTTAGTAAAGCATTTGATAGTATCCCCAGAGGGAAACTGTTTCAAAAATTGAGGCTAGCGGGAGTAACGGGGCGCTTCCTTGAGATTTTACTTTC